TACAACCCATTTTTTGATGACAGGGTGCAAAGGCGTAATGGGACTCCCTGACGGCGGCCTATCATATCAGAGCATCTTCCCATCGCCGTGGAAACGAATGTGCTATTATGACGTGACAAGCCTCGGGCCTTGACGGAAAACAAAGGAGGCCCGGTGTCCATTTTTGCTCCCGTTCATTTTCTATGGAGTGTTAAAAAAAAAAAAAAAAAAAACCACGCCTGACATCTAGTGATATTTATGACAGGCTCTGTAAATGCCGATGTCAGAATCAATTTTCAAGTCATTTCTCAAATGATTTTAATTAGATATTGTTTTGGTTTCGCTTGCATTAATTTAATCTCTGATATCAACATTTCACCATTCAATCTGTTCAAATGATTCTTCTCTCCCTGTTCGTATTGCCTTGAGTAATTTAAACTGCAATATGGAGCACAAGCAATATGAGACGTACAGCTTCGCAAAGGCAGTATGATAGCTAATATGTAATAAAATTAAAAGCAGGGGATGGAACCGTATCTGCAGACACCTGGGGCTGGGCCCTTCACAGGAAGTGGGTGGGGTTTCTGCTATGGAAGGCCGGGCAGAGTGGACTTCATTTTTTCGAATGAAAATCTGCAAAAACAGCCTCGTGGTGATGCGTTTCCTTCAGCTGCAGGATTTAGGAGATGTTTCTTGGGAAGGCCTCTGGGGATGGGGGGGAGGGGATCAAGCAGGGGTCGTCGTGGAGCCTTCATCTCAGATTAAGACCCAAAAATTGGTCAGCCATCATTTTACCCCAACCTCCTGCCCCAAGCAGGGAATCAGAGCAAGTTAGCATGTGCAGCTCATAAGCAATAACAGAAATGCAGCTCATAAGCAAATAAAAGAAATGCAGCTCATAAGCAATAACAGAAATGCAGCACATAAGCAATAACAGAAATGCAGCTCATAAGCAAATAAAAGAAATGCAGCTCATAAGCAATAACAGAAATTCCGCTAATATTTTTCACACTGCGACTCAGCTACTTGAAACAGAGTCATGGCAGGGAGGAAGAGGAGGAGAGGAGGGAGCTATCCTAGGGCGCAATGGGACCTTCACCCGTCTCATTGAAGATGTCTGGGGTCAGCCTAAAAGACGGGGTTTTGTTAAGCTGTTTTTGTTAAACGAAAAAT